CACCTCCCATGGGAAGTGAATGCAATTGCGCGAGTTTTGACTTTTTTACTTTCTGATTCTACTAATCATAGGAGGTGGAAGCACTCAGAAGTAGCCAAACTGATGGCAAGTGCCAATAGCAACCACACGTTGGCAAGATCGTCAATTATGTCCTCTTTCGAGAGTTGTTTAGAAATAAGTTGATGGCAAAAAAGTCAAAACTCTTTAAGACTATAGTTACTCGAACAAAGAAATTCGTATGCTGAAATTGTTTCGGATTCTGTGGAGCTTGGAGTCATGTTCTCCAAAAGGCCTTTTGTGCGACTTCTTTCTGCTTCTTCAATTTTTATTTTAGTCTAAATCCAGTCTGTGGCCCTCACTGGGATGTGAAGAGTTGTAGCATCATTAGAAGGGAACCTCAGCTAGATAAATTACCCCAAGATCTGTTTTATTCCTCCTGATTTTGAATTTATAAGTTTTGGAACTTTGCACGTTTTCATGAAGAGTCAAAAGCGTTAAAGGCGGTTAAAAGATGGTAGGCAGAAGTCTTGAAAGTATCGAAAAAAAGAACGCCTACGGAAAAATGTTATTTGCTGAACTTGGCTCTGTAAGTACGGACACTAAAGTTAGGAAAGGGCAAAATCCTCGGAGGGGAAAAAATCCTTGAAAGTTGTTTTTTTTTGCAGCGTGTATTTTCGTTTATTTTTGCAGTGTGTGTTTCTCGGAAGGGACAAAATCCTTGATAGTTGTTTATTTTTGCAGTGCATGAGTGAAGATAAGACAGCACTACTGGAACAGTTTGAAGCTCTGCACGAGCAGCTGATGAATTCGCTTACTGAAATGGAGAAAATCAGGGATATTGAGGTTTGACTTATTTTCCTCTATTCAAAATTTTTCTAAAAAAAACTTTTCTTGAAAATATGGCAGTTGCTACAGACGAATCCGCGGTGAGCCCTAGGGAGGAAAGGCGCTAGAAGTTATTCAAAGAGCGCGAAATTACCAAATTAAAATGGTAGAGAATTCCGGGACTGATAAAGCCCCATAGTTCCTTTCCATTTGCTTCTCTTTCTTCGTTGATCCATGCACCTAAGTGCAAATTTCTCGCTCTCAACCACAGTATCTTTCCTTTCCAGTTTTACCTAATTTCAAAATTCCTAAATCCACTTCTTTCCACAATAAGAGATTCCTTAATTTAAGATGTCCGGATTCTGCTGTTTTATTTCTTTTTATGCGTTTTGTGCTGTGTAACAGCAGTACAAAACGCATATTGC